TGCGTTGTACCCAATAACTCGAAGGAGCAGTCGGTGGTGTATCGATCTTCTGGAAGGAATCATTCTCTTGTATGTTCCGTCTACACATCTAAATCCTACAACACCAGGCAGCACGTTGTTTTCACGACGGGCAGTAAGAATTCATATTTTTCCATTTTCTCAACCCGCCGCGGGCGTAGATATTGCCCCCTGCACTATCGATCGGTGCTTGCATGTATGTTACGGGCGAGCGAACCACAGCTGCGATTCAGGCCAACTAGAAAGACGCGCCTCTTTGGTCGTTTGCTGTAGTGTGGGGCGGTCGGCTGTCTTCTTGGATGCCTTTTGTAGCTTTGGTTGATACATTGCTGGCGCATGCTTGTTGTGTCCTACTGCAATCTGTATGCATTGTTGATGGTTCCAGCTCGAAGTAGTCTGACATCACGGGCGGGTGCCTCTTTTCATCGCTCAGGTACTACTACTACTGCATTCGTACAGTAGTGTACTGTCGATTTTTCCAGGGAAACTCACGGAGTAGAACCAGTCCGTGGAGCGTTTTTTTTCTCTTTTCAAGTTCCACGGAGTGTTTTTTTCATTTGAAAATGTCACGGAGCGGTGTGTGGTGTGTTTTCGTCCTATTTATTTTGGCGACAGTCCCCCCATTTTTCGTGGTGAGACGTGTACTACATTTTTCAGCGTATGTAGAGTACTACACTTTTCAGTGTATTTTTTCGTACAACTACAACCATGCAGGGTCACACAGGAGGGGGAAAACACCAGGGCATTTTTCTTCGTTGTATTTCTTTTCATACCCCACCTTCCTCCTACGGTGCGTGCTGAATGTTATTTTGTGTCGCGTGAAGGGTCCAGCCGTCCCTTTCCCTCGTCAACGGTGCTAGCGTCGAATTTTGGTACTCACGAGAGCTTTTCAGCCATATTTCGCTTTCACCCGCCAAGGTTGTAAGTTTTTCACCCCATGGGGATTCGAACTAATGACCTCTCTCTGCGACTAGCGGTTTGCGGGGATACCACTATACCACCGGTTTATCCGAGGGCAAAAGTCCCACGGAGCCGAGCGTTTTTTTTATCCATGTCACGGTCACGGAGCGAAGCGGAGCGGTTTATCCGTAGGGCGTTCTTGTTTACTCTGTAGCATCAACCGCGCGAAACCGTGGCCTTGAGGACGGTTTTCCGTCAGGTAAACCCGTCGAAACCGCGCGGATATCCGTACAAAATCGACGGAGTACCTGTACTTTCGTGCGAAACGTTGGGTTTGGTACACCGAAAACCGATTTTCCACGCGGTGTGCTGTGGTTGGAGGCCGCCGGTGACACCGTATGCGTCCTCGCCGCCATGGGACAGCCCAAACAGCCCGAAAGGCTGTCAATTAATCAATTATTCAGAAAGGGACCGTTCCCCGCATCGGTACATCCTGACTCCCAAGTTCTTGCAACACGTAAAACAGATGATTCCTCACTTGCCTCTCGTTGAAACTTGAAAATAGAACAAAAAATAAGAAAAGGCGAAAAAATACCGTGACTCCGTGGGAAAACCGCGACTTTTTTGCGGTTGTACCCGTGACTATATTGCTTTTTTATCCGTGCTCGTGTGACCGAGTAGCTCAAACCGCTTCGTGGAAAAACCGCTCGTACGGATTTTTGGGAAGCTCCACGGAGCGGAGCGGAGCGGTTTATCCAAGGGCAAAATTCTCACGGAGCGAAGCGGTTTTTCTCACGGGAAAGTATCACGGGGCGGAGCGGAGCGGTAGAAACCGATCCGCTCCAATCCGCTCCGTGGATATAAAACGCTCCGTGAAATACCCTGGATTTTTCACTCGCGATACTGGCACACAACTGTTACATACAATAGGTATGAAGAGGCTACTACACGTTTGTTCGTGTGTGCATTGTGAATGCGAAGGCATTCTAAAGGGAATTATTGCGATATGCATACGAGGGGAAAGCATGTGATGAATGAAGATAATAGGCACAATGGCCACTACCTAGACTACTAAATAGTCAGCGCTGACTAGTAGTCTGGTGGCCATTGTGCTTCCCTACAAAAGTTAATGCCCGTGTCCGGTCAATCAAGCTGTTAAGCCACGAACACAGCTGACTAGTAGTCTAGTGGTCATTGTGGTATTCTACAATAGTTAATGCCCGTGTCCGGTCAAGCTGTTTGGCCACGAACACATTCCCCCAGGGTTGCCATCCTTGTAATCAGCGCTGTGCTCGCCAGATCGGTACAAGCAGGTCATCGGCTCATTTGTGCGAAGCCAGTTTCCTTCGACTTTTTTTTTTTTATTCCCATATGTCGGGCGCAAAGAATTTTTGCCGTTGGGGAGAATGTCCGGGGTTCGAATCTCCCCAGCAGCATAAATATTCTTTACGCCCGACATATGGGAATAAAAAGTCTAAGGAAACTGGCTTCGGAAATTCGCCGATGGCCNAAAAGTTAATGCCCGTGTCCGGTCAATCAAGCTGTTAAGCCACGAACACAGCTGACTAGTAGTCTAGTGGTCATTGTGGTATTCTACAATAGTTAATGCCCGTGTCCGGTCAAGCTGTTTGGCNCCCCAACGGCATAAAATTCTTTGCGTCCGACATATGGGAATAAAAAAATAGTCTACGGAAACTGGCTCCGCAAAAATGAGCCGATGACCTGCTTGTATCGATCTGGCAAGCACAGCGCTGATTACAGGGATGGCAACCCTGGGGGGATGTGTTCATGGCTCAACAGCTTGACCGGACACGGGCATGAACTTTTGTAGAAAAGCACAATGATCACTAGACTACTAGTCAGCGAGAGATACACAATGACCACTAGACTACAAGTCAGCGCTGACTATAATATTAATAGTAGTCTGGTGGCCATTGTGCTTCTTTACAACAGTTAATGCCCGTGTCCGGTCAAGCTGTTTGGCCACGAACACATCCCCCCAGGGTTGCCATCCCTGTAATCAGCGCTGTGCTTGCCAGATCGATACAAGCAGGTCATCCGCTCATTTGTGCGAAGCCAGTTTCCTTGGACTTTTTTTTTTTTATTCCCATATGTCGGGCGCAAAGAATTTTATGCCGTTGGGAAGATTCGACCCCGACACGCATGTCAGCCGCTGACTAGTAGTCTAGCGGTCATTGTGCTTTTCTACTAAAGCTGATGACCTTGTGCTTTTCTACAATAGCTAATGTCCGGGGTTCGAATCTCCCCAACGGCATAAAATTCTTTGCGTCCGACATATGGGAATAAAAAAATAGTCTACGGAAACTGGCTCCGCAAAAATGAGCCGATGACCTGCTTGTATCGATCTGGCAAGCACAGCGCTGATTACAGGGATGGCAACCTTCGGGGGATGTGTTCGTGGCTTAATAGCTTGACCGGACGCGGGCATAAGCTTTTGTAGAAAATCACAATGATTTTACGATAATAGTCAGCGTAGTAGTCTATTAATAGTGGTCATTGTCCTTCTCTACAATGAACTGGCGTGTACCGCGCTCCCATATATATCATCTGTTGTAGGACCCCCCCCCCCCCCCCCCCC